AAAAAAAAAAAAAAAAAAAAAAAAAAAAAAAGAAGAAAAAGAAAAAGAAAAAAAAAAGAAAAATTACTGAACTATGAATTCTCAATATGGGTCGTAGAGTTATCGGTACAGTTATCAATAATTGTATGTAGATAATATTTACAAAATGTTAATATGTTTGTGGAACGTCTTTGGAAGGTTAATTCTAGAGGTCAAAATAAATATAAAAGTTGGTATACAAAAATGTTAATTGAGATTTTTTTTTTATTTTAAATTATAAACAATTTAAATTCGCGTTAAACGAAACGAGAATGCAACAGTGTAACGGAGATATTGCTAATTGTTTATAATGTAATAAATAAATCTTAATTGATATTATTGTATATCAATTATTTATTTTAAGTTTTGATAAATTCTTTACTTAAAAATTCTTTACTTAAAAATGAACCCCAAAAGTATTCTATAAACACATGTATTTATTATCAATAATATCATTAAAATATTCAATATTGAAAATATTGATAATGAAAGAAAATAATTAAAGTTTTCATTTTTTCTTTTTCAAAGTTATCGTAAAATATTATTAATGATTATCAACAAATAGTTAATATTTCATTGTCTATATATTTAAAATATCCTTGAAATAACAATAACAGAAATGCTTATTTATTTTTATTACAATTTATTACACAAATAATATTTTAATTTATCTTAATAATAACTTTGAATAACAAAAGTAGAAACTTTAATTTTTATTTGTCAATGATATCTTGATAATTATATATATAATATATACTTATAAAAATTGTCAATAAATTATCAATATCACATCGATTATCGATAATCACAACTATAATAGGTTGTAGCCTAAAAGAATAATGCAAATTGGTTTTTTAAAAAAAATTATTAAAAAATTATAATAAAAATTTTAAGCAATTCTTTGTTTCTCTATTCCCTATAATTTCATTTTAATAGAAGTGATTTATATTTTTTCGGATATTGAAAAAAGTATTACATTTTATTCGCGATCATGTACAGAATACACACATTTCATATTGAAATTGAAAAACTTTAACAATATATTTGAAATGTCCAGAACATAAAATATTATATATACTACGGATTTGAATTTGTCCTTCGTTCTCAAGATAAGTGATATAATCTATAAAAAAAATCATATGCATTTGAATTATTTAAGTTTTAATAATAATTATATAACATTGATTTACACTGATATATTTCCGATTTCAATCTGGAATACCTTGAATATTAAATATTTTATATTTATTACAGTTTGGAATAAATATTTATTTTTATATTATATTTTATATTATATTTATTTTTATTTTATATATATTTTATTTTATATATATATATATATATAGTTTATTCTGTTGAAAATATATTTTCATGCAGAAATGCACAATTATGAGATGAAAGTGAGGTTATTGACTGTTATAGAACGTGTATCGTACATTTCAAAGATATTGAAAAACACTCGATTAAATCAATTATATAATTGAATTATATAATTGTATTGCATAATTCGCAGGTCCTCCCAGCAGTCTGGTCAGCAGCCTCTCGGACAATTTGTCGAACATACTAACGATAAATACGCAGACTTCTCCTTATTGCATGTCACCTATTTCTCATTCGCCAAGTCCTCTGGGCTTGTCGCCTCATTGGGGTTTACCACCGATACCGTCCATGTTTTCACCATTGCCACTCCATCACACTTACACGTATCAGCAGCACCTTAATCATTTGCTGACAACGCAGCACGTGATGCATAACAACGCAATACCTCCTCATACTCATGCACAACAGAATCACGGTTTTTCCGGTATCGCACAACTTCACTCGAACGTGCCTCCTGGCTTTCACAGTATTCATGGATTGAACGGTAATTCGTTGACAGACAGCAAGGAAGGTAGTGGTAAGTTTTATAGTCTCGTCTTAATTTTTTTTTTCACGCGAATTAACGAATCGCGATATCGTGAATACCTTTTTGATTAGATAACAAAATTTAACAAGCCTTTTATTTTTTTTTATTAAAAATAAGAGATATATATATGTATTTATACGAATCTAGATAATACCTGAATAAATGGATCATTCAACAGATATTTAACAATAATGAATAATTTGAATTATGATAATTTGTATTTAATTTTTTTTGTATTAATGTTTTTTTTTTATACGAATTAAAAATGAAAAGTTAGAAAATGAAAGAAATGTTAATCGAAATGAAATTATGGAATGAAATCTTTTTCATAGAAATAAAAATAGAAACTTAATATTTTATATGCATATATAATATATATAATGAAATTTTTATTATTATTAAACAAAGTTTCTTCATATTTCTTATAATGAAAATTAATAAATCACATTGTTTCGTGAAATAATATTTTCAATATATATAAAAATTTCATTTTTTTAAATTTTATCTTAAAAATAATAATAATATAGTAGTAATTTAATAATTTAATATCTTCATATTTCTCTAATTATTAATCATTATATATGATTTCTTAATTTGTAAAAACTAGTATTTATTCATTATATTAAATAAGAAAAAAAAGCAAAGATAATTAGTACAATTGTACATCGACTTGCAAGTTTCAATATGGATTTTCGAATATCATTATGAAATCGATTTCGTACATACGAACAAATTTTATTAATTATAATTATACTAATAATAATATCTTATCAATATAATTTTACTGATTTCACATTAATTTCATTGATAAAGTATTTGATACTTTGCCACTAGTGATTTCGGAATATTATATTCACAAATGAAGACATTTTAAGTTCGTTGATGGATACCGTAAAATTAAAAAAATAGTACACGTGTCACATTTTTTTCATATTTACTTCTCATTTTAATCCCTTCCTCTCTTATAATCGCAGCATACTCGTCGTTGAGCAGCATGTCCAGTTCTCTATCTAGTCCAGCTATCAGTCCTCGTAACATATCTCCAGTTAATCCAACGGAGAATAGTCCTAATATAGGTGAGCGACTCTAATCTACCGATCTGCATCTTGTAGAAATTATCATTCCAGATCTTAATACTTTCGTTCGACAGATTTATCCAGCATGTTATCCGATCTCACGGTACCCGATCGTCGTGCACCGGGTTGCGAGAAGAAATCGCTGGAAATGGCTGTGCAACAAAATCTTGTTCCTTTCGATTACGAGCAGAAAAAGCTCTTGGCTACGAAAGCGATACAAACGAAGCCGGCTACTAACGATTATCGCGTTCCTACTTCCGCTTGGTCTGGCTACGGTCTCAGTCAAACCATTCCTCCTATAAGTGCGACTGATTTGAACAAGGTAAGGTAATCGTGCATTTCTTTTTTTTTTTTTTTTGTTTTCTTTTCTTTTGAACATTTTTTAAAATTCAACATTACGAGAAGAAAAAAAAAAAAAGAAAAGTTAAGAACAAAGTTAAGATGTTTCGAAAACGCAGGAATTGACCACCTCTCATCCATCCGATCTGTGGAAGGAACCAACATCGTCGGTATTTAGCAGAGACATTGACTTTGGAATCAATTCCGGCAAAGACCGTGTCGGTCAGATCGGCATAAATTCAAACTACTTAGAGCATACGCCTAGCGCGCACCTCAAGAATATCACGTCTAATCGGTATGACGACTTGACCAGCATGCTGACTTCCGTTGGATTGGAAAAATACATTCGTACGTATATAAATACTTTGGATTTTCGGCTTTTGCTTGTTGATCGTTCGCATGCACCAATATCTATCACTTGCTGTGACAATAGTGACATAACTGTGTGAAAATTTTCACAATAGTGAAAATTTACAATTTTATTTGTCAGTTATATGTATTTTGTTTTTTTATTGTAACACGATTTTACGATTTTCCACATATGAGCTTCCAATGTGACCTTACAAACCTTACAATCTCACCATTTTTTTCTCCTCATCGACTTAACAGTCGGAGAGGACGTTAATTAGATAACGAAAAATTAGATAAGTTGGATCTATTGATATGGGTTACTTTTGGTTTAACCACTATATTCAATGGCTCTTACTCAATGTAATATTTTTATCAGAGATGGATTAAAATTTAATTTTTAAATTTGAATCAAAAATTTTATAAAATCTCTAATTATGCTTATTCTTTTCCCTCCCTTTTTATTCTTTCTTCTGGAAAGATTTTGTCGATTAATTAATTAATTGAATTAAAATCTTATTAATTTTGATTGATTCCTAAAATTATTCAAGATTCGTACAATAATCATTCTTTGATTTTATTATTTAATATAAATATATATTAAATATAATATAAATATAAATTTTTATGTTTTATTTCTTTTCATGTAATGGATAAAAATCATTAGCAATTAAAGTAAACCTAAAATTTAAATACAAGCTCAATTATTATTTATTCATTTTTCTAACGATTTCAAACATTTAAACTCCGTTGGTAAAAACCGATGTTTTTTTCCCCTCGTGATGTCACTATTGCAACAAACGAACGATAAGCATATACACATATGTATCACGTAATCTAGCTTATTCGCTTGCTCGTTATACATGCCGCTTGTTTTCTGTTTGCCAGGCCTGTTCACATCTCACGAAGTGGACATGGCTACCTTTCCTTCGCTGACGGAAAAAGATCTGTGCGAAATTGGGATAACCGCTTGGGGCGCGAGGCGTAAAATAATGCTGTTAATCGCTGGTACGTAAACGGGCTAAACCGCATTCCGCATTGCAACTATAAAGCAAATATAATCGTTCACAAACGATCGCCTCTATTCTCAACCGAAGATCTCATTTCCAGAAATGAACAAGCGGACTAGTCCATTCTGCGGTAGTGCTGCGCCTGGCGCGGAACGTAAAACGACCACATCTACGACCTCGTCGTCAATGGAGAAGTGTAATCTGGATACCAAATGGTAGCAAAGACGAAGAATTGTTACGAATCTCGCAAGAGTTCGTGAAGACGAAATCGGACAGGACCGCGTTGTACTTAAAAAGTTCGCATCACAGATCCGATCCTTGGAACGATAATCGAGATTGAGAAATCGAAAATCACGCGGGCCATTTCGCCGACTCGACAGTAGGATCAAAGTGGTATAATTGGTATGTTAATTTGCGATTCTAGGCACCGAAAGAATAGGCGGTTGATTCTTTTTGTGGTCGAGGATCCATTTTTTTTTTATTATTATTATTATTTTTTTTTTTTTTTTTTTTTTTTTTCCCCTCCATAGAATCCTCGATTCACGCGGTCAGAAGGTGTCTTAGGTTAAGGAACTCGTTGCTACTTTCGTTTCGTTAGCTTTTTTTTTATGTTATGCTAATGGTCTTTCTATCGTGGTCGCGCGATATATATTCGACGAATCGATGATTTTTTTCGTATCGTATTTTTTTTGTAAACGGAGCGTGGAACGCGATGCTCCGACTTGTTGTGTCGTTTCGACGCGTTGTATCGTATGTGTTTTTGTGTAAAACGGTGAAAAGTTCGTGATACGACTGAATGATAGGCGTACGGTATGAATTAGTGATAACGGTTAAATTAGTACAACGAAGTGCGTAAAAAAAAAAAAAAAAAAAAAAGAAAAAAAGAAAAAAAAAGAAAAAGAAAAAAAGTAAGACTTCGAAACTATTGTTTACGCGCGATGGGCGAGGGATGTCCCGTACGTTCGGCGGTCTTTCGCTTTAAGTAATGTTAAAATATTTAATCTCGACTAAGCTCGAAATTCGGCAAAACGCGGAGTGTAAGCAGCTTTCCTCGCAGCAGCCGCGTTTTCGAGTTTTACATTGTAATAAAGTATTTATTATTCACTCGCGAAAGACGACGAATGCACGTCGAGTTATTGCAAATGATTCTTCCACGAAGCGAATCGAAGGAGGCGGTTAACGAAACGTCTGGGGAATATTTCGAATCGAGTATCTTTAATATATAGAGAAAAGTTTTTCTTTGAAATATCAAAAATATCCTGATTCGAGTTTAATTGTAACATTAATTTATATAAAATTTGCCTGCCGAACAAATTTGCAGCTAAATAATCTTCGATAATCGGTCGTCGTAATTTCTTTTCTCTTTCTTCTTTTATTTATTTTTTTTTTCTTTTTTCCTTTCCTAGCATGTACGTACTCGATAAATATTCGAGGAACGATATTTTTTGTCGCATAAAGCTGCATATTCATGTTCTGGTTCATATATTATTACGTCATTATACAATAATTATTTTACGAAGATAAAATTATTCGCTCTACGTAAATTATTAATATTTTATATCTTTTTTTTCTGTCAATATATGAACTGTTCGGCTATGAATTCGTTCTTTGCTCATCACAAAAATGTAGGAATATCCACTCGCAATTTAGGTAATCGATTTGTCGATGGCGGCCAGCGATAAAAGTTACATCTTGTTTGTCGAATAACTGGATACATCGCCTCAGCAAAATTTATCGAGAAAGAGCAATTTTACCGTTAAAAGTTTTTGACTGAGTCTATTGTGAATAAAAATTCACAATAAGAATTCACAATTATTTAAGCATAAATTATTTTCTTTTGGTATTTTTTTATGCTTGAAAATTATCGAAATATTAGAAAAGAAATAGACGTTACGTGTTCTTCATTCGTGCAAATATATATGCGCATGCGCGTGTAAGTGAGACTGTGTCCAATCGTCGTTCTCGTTTCTAATGTATGTATTGTAAACTGTTTCATTGATAAACGAAAACACATTCGGTCCAAATTCGATTTTCCTTGTCCGATCGTTATAATGATCGAATAATGAAAATTGCAATTTGTTATGCCTTCGTAACGAAGAATTATCGTTTTTGTTTTTGCGATAGCGATGAAACGTGATAGAGCGTTTGATCGTAACATCGATCGTCGTTTCTCAGAGAAAACTTGATCGATGATCCAAAATTTATTGGCGCGAGTTTATAATTGTTTTCTTTGTATTTTTTTTTTTTTCATTTTGTTTTTCGAAATTCTTAAAATCGATCGATCAATGCTATTTCTCAAATAAATGCGTTAAACTATTCGTCGATGTTCCTATCTACAGAAAAAAAAGTTATATAATGTATATATGTATATTTACACACACGCATACACACATATGTATGGACGTACGTATGTATGTATGGGAATTGATTTTGATTTTGCGCGATTCAGCCGGTTAATTAATTGTCGCGAAAAATTAGAATTAAAAAGAAAGAAAAGAAGAAAAAGAAGAAAAGATGAAAAAAAAGGAAACGATGATAGGTAATAGGCGACAATGAAATGTACAATACCTAACATTCGGACATTGCGATGCAAGCCAATGGTTCATCCTGTTTCCTGTCATCTTTAAAAATGGCAATTTTCTTGACGTATCACTCTTTCTCTTTCTCTCTTTCTCGATCTATCTCGTACGCTTGGAAACTTGGAAAACATTTTCTTTAAATTGACATTTTCTTTAATTTTTTTTTTCTTTTATTTTTCTCTTTTCTATGCATACGAACGAAAAAAAAAACAAAGTGAAACGAAGAAGAAGAAGAGAGAACGAAAGATGTATATAATGTAAAAAAAAAATTGAACAGGATCACTCGACTGACCGAACATGCCTTTCTGGAGCATGCTTCTACGCGCAGAATAATAATAAATATTGTCGATATATTACCGAAGATGGTGCATTTGCGACGCGTAATATATTGATAAGATGCGTTGTTTTGTAAAAAATATATGTATATGTATATATATATATATATTTATATATCTATCGTGATGGCAATTTGATCATGCACCGTCATATTTTTTTCACAATCCGCATTGAAACGATAAAAACAATGAAATATGATTCAAAGGAATCGTGTTATCGGAAGGTAACGAATAAAACGGAATGCAACGTTCCGACTCGTTTCGTAACGTTACGCGTTTTATCTCGTATACTTTGTCGATGCGATCTCGTATTTCTTTCGACCAAAAAAAGAAAGAATAATACGTTTGTCTAACAATGTGATTTGATGTAGCTTTCATTAGTGCCTATAAAAAAAGTCAAGAGATACTACGATTTAACAGAGACTTAGTATTAGCGGGATGCGGTAGAATTATTTATATCTATGTAAATATCTCAGGTCGTACAAGATAAAATCGCGCTCGAGATTTTTTTTTAAATCGACGAAATAATGAAATAGGCGTGGCTATAGCATCCCTTGATACGTGCAATTTAATAAATTTTTTGAATCGTTGGAACGGCGATCGCATGCTCGCAAAACGCACGTATTATCGAAGAGGGAAAAAAAAAAAAAAAAAAAAAAAAAAAAATTCCAACAAGAGTTAGAATCCAAACGAATGGAGAGTTTAAGGAAAAAAAAAAAAAAAAAAAAAAAAACATTCCAACAAGAGTTAGAATCCAAACGAATTGAGATGTTCAAAAAAAAAAAAAAAAAAAAAAAGAAAAGAAAAAATGAAGAAAAAAATAAATAAAAATTCTAATGTGTGTTAAAATTTTTCGTCCATTATTTTCCTCTTGAATGACTTGATTCGTTTGCGTTCATTCAAGTATTGCCAGGTAACAGAAGGACGTCCCCGCCCATTAAGCAAGTAAAAGGATAATAGATAAATCAATGATCGATATACGTAATGCGTGTTGCCGGGATTTACGAAACGGAAAACGATTTATTATAAAGCGGCATGATATTTTTATACGATAATCCAATTATTCCGATAGGCGACGAATATATGTATTGTATACCTGATCCATTATCGATTCGTTTCGAAGGAAACGCCGAATAAATTGAAATGTTGTATCAAGCAAATCAAGAAAATTTTGTATTGCTATTTTTAATAAAAAAAAAGGAACACAATGCTTGTACAAATGTATGTAATATAAATACAGATATATATATGTATGTACACATATGGGTCAAAAAGTTAAATAGATAATGCATTCGGTTCGTACGCTTTCATATCACCAATGTAGAGTCTCATGCCACATTCAAAACACTGGAATTCACTCATTGCGGTAAAATGAGCGCTCAAACAATAATAACAAAATATATGCTGGCAACCAGCATGAACAGGTAAAATAGGAGTATCGGCGCAATAAGCACATTTGGTAGATAAATTCATAGTTGGAAAAGTACGTAACAAATTGGCGGATTTTGATCGTGTAAACAATTTCTTCAATGTGTGCTTTATATAATGGAAATTAATCATAGGTAGACCGATAGTAAATAATTCCATTAAACTATGCCACAGTAATTCTCTTGTCATATACGAATATCCGATATTTCTCGGTTTGTGAGTTGTTGTAGAAGAGTTTACGATTCCGAGAATATATTCCACAATGCGAGGCTGTGTCCCTCGATGCAGAAAGATCAACAAGTTGATAAACTCGAGCAATTTTACGATATCCTCGATACGATCGAATAAGATGTTCAAATTACGATTTTTACTGTTGTCTTTAAATTTATCTCGCACATACGCAGGTACGATCATTGAAATCAAATACAGAACGGATTTTGCGCTGTTAATATTTTCGTAATGCAAATTGAGCAGTTGCTGACCAAAGGTTGATTTTCCATGCCGCAGCGAGAAATTCCATATAAAGTATTTGAGAACTGCATCGATTTCAGGTTGCCACTGATCGATCTTTTCTATTGATTGATACTTGCTAATTTTCTTAGCTTGATTTCTAAGCACTTTATAAATTTCCTCATCTAGTTGAACAGCGTCGATTTGATTAATCCGAGAGACATAAGGCGATGTCGGCATCTGGGCGCTGAACATATATCCAGAGATGTGTGATTATTCGCGAAACGATGGAAACTGAGTATCACTGAGTACAAAGTAACGCGTCGCGCGACGGAATGGCACAAGGTCGTGGTCGACGGTCGATCGAGGAAGCGATTATTTTCGTCGTGCCACGATCGTGTAGCCGCGCGCGCGCGTTCAGAAAGCAAAGTGGGCGAACAAGTCGATTCGAGCCAGTCGAATCGAGCGTTTCGTTTAGTCGGTAATCAGAGACACGAAAGTTCTGTAAAAGTTACAAAAAATTGCGTACAAGGTGAACGCGAATGCGAACATGAACGTGAATGCAAATTGAGACACACAAATATAGGCTGAATTGTATTCGAATGATAAAAAAGGATTTGCGATTCTCCGATTTCACGTAAATTCGTGGCGTATTTGTGAAAAAGAAACTAGTGTACGAGAGAAAGCGAGGTTAGGAAAAGTAGGACGGTGGCGTTGTTGAAGCGACGCGACACGATACGACACGACACGACACGACGTAACACGACGAAAAACGACCCGGCACGATTCGTCACGACTCCCGACGACGAAACACGACTCGACGCATCGGCTTTATTCGGCTTCGACGACGTCCTCTGTAGGAGAAACGGAGGTAGCACAACGCGCAGCTTCGATTTCGAATCTCTAGTTTCCCGCAGTGAAGGAATCGCAGTCGTGGGGGGTGCGCACGCGACTGCCCTCTGTTAGCGGTTTGGAAATCACGTGGAAAAAGGAGCGGAGCGAAGCGGATTTTAGTCGCGGACGGTGTGCCTCGCAGCACAGCTTCGAGAGAAAGAGTAAGAGGAAAAGAAAAAGAGAAGCGGTGAGAGGAGTGGTGAGGGACGGTGAGGTGCGGTAAGGAGAGAAGAGAAAAGGTGTCGGTGTACGGGAGTTGGTCATTGTCAACCGGTGGTGATCGAAGGGTTTGCGTATTCGCGAGTAACAACCAAGCAATTTGAGGTTAGCTCGAGGGATAGCTCGGAGCGAGCGCGATCTAACTCGAGTCTCTCGAGCCCGCGTCCTATCGCGTTTCGGGCTCCATGTTGCCGCTGGTGGAATGACGTCATCGAGTGTTGGTGCTTCGAGAGTGAGCTCCTTCCTTACCCGTTCTATCAAAGTTACCCGATCATGTTTTCGTGATAAATTCTAAGATATTTTGGTGCGGGAGACTCGGTGAACTCGGTGAACTCGCAGTGATTAGTGGCGGTCGCCGATTAGCACTACTGTGCTCGGCTGCCACGCATCCACCACCAGAGGTGAGTACTACCAATTATTATATAATGTTCGGTTTTTTCGTTTTCATTGCTCTCAATTCATTACATTCGCTCGAACCATCGATCCCATCAACTGTCAGGTTAACCTCCGATCCGACCTTCCGATCTCTTCTCTCTCCTCCCTTCCGTTCTCGTTCATCATCTCTTTTTCGCTCTGTCCCCCCTTACATTATTCAGTCTCCCGTTTTTGTTCTTTCCTTTTTCCCCTTATTATATATCGCGCTCTTTTATTATATATACGAGCTCTCTTTTTTTTCACCGATTTCCCGGTTCCATATTTATTCTAGTCGCCACTGTCTTTTTCAGTTTCGCGTCTTTCGAGGAAAAAGGCAAGTTAATTCGACAAATTATAACCTCTTATGGTGTTCCTGTTGCGAGCACATTGCCTTAAAGCGCATTAGCCGCGGTGCGCGTCGCACACGTTATTTTTGTGTCGGCCACTTGTTCGCAACCACTGATCGCTCGGACACGATGCGACGTGATGGTTATATCCGCCCCGAGTAATTTGTTCAAAGGAACGAATCAGGCTTCCTCGATTATCACGATTCGCGATCGATATCGAAAGTATTATGTTTCGCTTGCGGAGTATTCGTATTCGAGAGTCATTAACCTTTTTATTCCCCGTCTTCGATAACGTATATTCGCGATTCTTTCTTATGTTTTTTTCGAATTCGGTCCACGTAGCTTGCTCGCGGATGTTTTGTATTGACTAGTAGCATTAGCTTTTGCTATTTTTTCGATTTTGTCTTCTTTGTCATACAATTTCCAACGCAAAACACGTTTCTTTGTTTTCTTATCGTATAGCAAAACTGTCATCGCGTATGTCTACGATTGTTCAACGAGCGTGACAAAAACATACGGGTATGCTTGTTTACGCATGGCTCAAAGCGACACGCGCCACGCGTTTTCCAACCACAGATTCGGCCCGGTTGTATCTTTATTTTCTTTCTCCAAACGAATGTGATTTTTTTATCTTTTATATTTTTTACGTTATTTTTTCAGAATAATAGAAAAAAAAATAATTTACAAACATAGTGTACCGCGTAAATGGTTTCGGTAGAAAGTGGGCGTGGCGTGCAAAAATTTTGGTTCGATGATGGTATTTAGACTTTCTCGCTTCGTCACATGTTGTTCATCACAAAGAATATTTATTTGAACACGAAGAGTAATTCAAATTAATATTTATATAATATTATTCATATTATTAATTTATTTTTTTGATAAAATAAATTATTTAAAACATTTTTCGTCTCATGAATCAACAATATATAACAATTATTCTGCTATTTTTATATTGTAAATAAATTCTTAAAAAAAAAGTTAAAAATTTTTGACACATTAATGATAATAATGGGATTACATATTTATAATACATCCGTATCTTTCATATCTAATATGAAATTAATGTGAAATTATTGTGGTCATTTAATGTGATCAACATATTTCCTGAACACAAGTTCGTCCTTTCTTCGCATTGGCGGTTTCTCTATCAATAAATCGAATTCGTATATCAATTATAATCCAACAATTTTATAATATTTTCGTTTCTTTTTTACCATGGTTATAATCTTAATTTATAAGTTATGGCTTGTTAATATATTCATATTTGTAAAATTTTCTTTGTTGTTACTTTTCTCTTATCACTGCGATTAAGTTTCCAATAACGATAACTTGCCAACTTTTATTACTTTTTCCGTTATATCACAATATCGCTGACGTTTTCTTTATACGTTCTTATCGAGTCTCTAGACAGTTCGTTGAATGGACCACGTGAGTGCTGAACGGTCTAAGTGTTTGCTAATAAAAATATTCTTTTCAATGTCGAGTCAACAATCATTTGATATATATTTTTTAATTTCATCCATTATTAGTTCTGTAAATAACGAATTTTTCTATATTTGAATTTTTTATATTATATTTGTGTGTTTTTTGTGTATTATGTTTATTTTTGCATTATTATTTTTTTACATTGTGTTACAATGACATTTTTGCGTTTTTTCTTTTCTTATTTTGTTTATCTTTTTTTTGTATCATGCTATTATTTTATTCGAAATAATATTAATTTCACGCTTGTTTGCTAAATTTTTCGATTTTTATTCAATATCCTAAATGAGATTCCAAAGTAGGTGAATTACGAGTATGCATATTACTACATCACTGGCATTCATCGTGGCAATCGCTCGATCGTAAACCGATCAATGCTTACTCACAGATTCTCGAAATTCAGGCCAAATATGCGTAAGTTCCGTTCAATAAAATTTGAATACAGTATATAAAAGAGATTGATATAACCGATTAAATTTCTTCGTCATTGTCGATATTTTAAGAAATATGTTATAATTAATATATTGTAAAAATTATTAAAAAAATAAAATATATAAGGACAAGAGTGTTTGTATTTGCCCGTAACGTGCTGCCATCTTGTGATTTTTGCACATCCCCGTATCGTGACCCCGTGGAACGGGGTCATGTGTACCTAACCGCTTCTTTGTAGCGTTTCTCCGCATACACGATCGTTTTACCCCGTTTTTGAATTTTTTTCTTCGATATACAGAAAAATTAGAACGACGTTCGTTGATTATTTACACGTTTCGTACAAATGATCATCTGGATAAATACATTAAAAAATAACTCTCTTCATTGGTTCTATGTGCCGGAACCATGGACGAAGAGTGCGCTCGAAGAAATAGAACTTTTGTTTGCGTTCCGTTTTTACGATCTAATGTATCTGAATCGCGAAGAAGATTGAGAAAGCAAAGTGACACGATAATCGCGATATGTACAGCATAGAGGATGGTGTTCCATTCTTGACCGAGAGACGAAATGGTTGGATAAGTGAAACTTCACTTCAGCGGAATAGGTGGTGGCGCGAGGCGTGGCGAGGTATTGATCGTCGTTGCGATTTCCCTTCCTTCTTCACCCCCGACCAACGTCATCCACCGTTTCGAACCCTCTCGCTTTCTCGTCCTCCTGCTCTAACTGCCGCTTTGTCTCTCTCGCTCCATCGCTCTCTCGGTCGACCCACCTTCACCCTCCGACTCTGTCTCTCTGCTATAGATCTAGCGTTGCTACTTTCGCCTACCTTCGCCTCTTGCCGACGGCATTCACCCTCCAGTCCACCGAACGAATCCACACGCGTCTCCGCATCTCCGCTCCTCTCTTCCCTTCTTTTCTTTTCGTTTCCCCCCGCTGGTGATCTTGCTATCTTTTAACTGTACTTACATCTCTCCTCCATGTATCTTTGCTTTTCTTTAAAATCTTATCAATCGATCGATCGAAATTACGATTACATCTGTTTTTTTTTTTATTTTTGTTTAGTTTTTCTCTCTCATCTTTCTTTTCAATCATTACTATCTATTTTCTTCTCTATTTTTTTTTTTTTTTTTTTTATTCTTTTTTTATTCTTATCGTAAAACGGAACAACGATACTCGATTCGTTTTTCCAAATTTTCTCGAGAATGGATTCGAATATTGTTTAACAATTGGTTAATTATGGTCGTTAGAGCGTAATTTTAGAATCGGTTTGTTTTATGGCATCTTCTTTACCGATATCAAACGATGAAAGTTATCGCAAGCTGGGTGTATCGCCATCTGTGAAAGGGTAGCTCAGTTACACGAGTTTCAAGAAACTCGCCAATCTTGTTAATGCTGTTAGTCCCAACTCGGTTTTCAGAATAAAGGAAAGTAGAAAGTTGGTTTTGTCGAGTTTATCTTCTTCTTCAATCCCAATCTTCGTCTTTATCAAAGGTTAATCCTCGGTATATAACTGAATCTACAAATCTAAAGTGATCTATAGCGATAGATTCATATTTATCTAATTTTCGTTATCTAATTAGCGTTATTATCGATCGCTAATTCAATTGGATTAAAAATGACCCAGCTGCTGGACCGTAGGTAATAATAAATCTCTTTGAAGTTTCTCGTGATCTATTGATGTTTGTGTTTATAATGTCTATCATATTTTTTAAAATTTACATTTTTTACAATTTACATATACTGATTTATTTTAATCTATGAATGAAATAAATTATTTCCCGAAAATGTTTATTAATATTTCAAATGAAATTTTCAAAAATGAAATTTGTTTAAAAAAAATATTTTAATGTAAAAATATTCTTATAGATGTAGATATTAATATATCTTAATTTAAAAAAAACCAATTTGATTTTTATAAATATCTTAAGTGCAATTATAAATATTTGTTAA